GACAGGATGAGAAGTAGACGAAGAAGATGTTGACGTTGCTTGCGCTTGTGCTGATCGACGAAAATGTTGAGCATTAAATTGAGGCAGCGAAGTTGATGAACTACTGCTTGTGTTCGCTTGTATAGGGTCTTCAAAATTGTCTCCGAAGATCTCTGCAACTCCAGCAGAATATATTAATTGCTTCTTCTTCTGCTTCGTCGATTCAACGATAGATGGCATCGCAGCTAGAACAGAAATCGAGCTACTGCTTGACGATGTTCTTCCCGGGTTCTCCTCGCCTAATAACGACTGCTCCTCCACCGCCGGCGCCGACGTCATAATTGCATTCCCAAGCTCCGGATCGATTGAGAGGATAAGATGAAGTAAACAGCAGTACTGAGAATAGAGTCGCTATACAAGAAGATACGTGATAGATCGCCTATATACTACAAATATTCCCCTCATAAAGCAGAAAAAATCTGAGAATAAATATACTATTACGCTTCTAGCCCATAAGATCGCCTTCTTTCTCCCATCTGCTTTCGGAATCTTCCGAGGAGGATGAATCGGCAGGCGTTTTAGCTTACTGTCCCAGAATTCCTCTTCTGTTATCTGTGTCACTTGGCCGACGGTACTAGGTCCAGAATCTGGGGCAGATAAATGCCGAAGATACCGGTGAGAAGGCTCAGCTTTGCGGGAACTCGTAGACAAATGCTGGTGCCAAAAGCAAATGTGCTTCTCCACGTTGGGGCACCACTCGCACCATTCTTTTTCTGTCTTGCTATCTGGAACGCGCACGCTTGCCATGTTCTGCGACTCGTAGAACTCTTGCAATCTGCTATGCCACTGGTGCCGTGTCACAGGGCCAGAGACCTGCCATCCGCATCGAACGAATTCCCTCTCTCCTGAATGTTGCTGCTGGTAGTGCTTCACTATTTCTCGCAGTCGTTCTGCTTCGAACTTTATGTCGTCGGTTCTCCTCCAGCGAGCAATCGCGGCGCGTGTGTTGCTGATGAGCTTGCTGGTGTCGCAGGGCTGCACTAGTTTAGTGCATTCGGGTGGCACGTAGCAAACAGTGGCATCTTCTCGGATCTGCGTATTTGGCCGCCAGGCTTTCATATGGCTCGGATGTCGGTCCACCAAGATGATCAGCCGCTTCTCCTTCTGATAATCTGCAGAAAAACCGTGCTTCCATTCGATCCACCTGCGGATTACGACTGACTCTATGTACCACGTAAACACCTCCGAGTTCATCGAACCAGTATGGCACCAGCTGCAATCTTCTTCGATTATCTGAGTGATTTTAGTTGTGAGCAATATCATGAACAAGAAGGGGATAAAACTGACTACGAAATTGAAGAAAGAGCACAAGAAAGCAAGAACGCAGAAGCCGCACATTTGTGCAGCCTGTACAGGCATACCATGGAAAAGCTGCACGACGAAACGGCGCGGATGGCCAGACGCGTGAGGAGAGTCCCCTAGCCTCACGCTGGTGAAAAAAGTAGAAAAGCGGGGCCGATGCTTGCAGGCGTGGCGCTTACTAGCGGCGCCACTCGACGAAGAAGAGCGGGCCGACTTCCTGGCGCGCTAGGCTATGAATTCGATACGGCTAGAGTGCCAAAAGGATATAAACAGCTCCGCACTGAGATGCGCCCAGTCAGAACTATGCTGCTCCGCCCTGCGATTTTCATGATGGTGGCAGCTCCGCGCAATCGCTGCCAGCTCGCCTTTTTGAGCATTGCAGGCCAGTTTCTCTGCTGCGGAAATTCTTACCAACGTACTCCCTCGGCCTCATTCGCTAAAGCACTGCAGGCCTCGGAGCCTCTGCCAGGAAACTGCTCCCACAATCTCGCAAATATTGAAAATTCAGAGCGTGAACGGAACTTCTGCGACGTATGGGAGCAACGTCAGCCGAGAAGAGTTTCCGCAGGTCACGTTGCGAAGGGCCGCTGTTTTATTTCGGCCGTTTTTGTTTTTTGTTCTTCTGGTTTTCGAAGTCGGGCTTTTTTGTTTGTTGTTTTTAATTAGCTTCTCGGGCGG